TGTTAAGAGAAGATAATCATAAAAATGCTAGTAGTATTTCCAGCACCCATACACTGCCTCTCTGGATTAACATGGAATGCTTCTAAGCAAAATCCAAATTTCCAATTGAATCCAGCCATGGTACACCATCCAGATTGAAAATTAGGACTTTGAGCCATCACAAAAGTTCAAATGCAAACATTGAAGGCATAATCCTATAACCACAGATCTCTTTTTCTTTATCTCTTATTGCAACAAATTAATCTCAATGTCTAATCCAGCTCTAAATTTTGAGTAATTGGGGCATATGATATGCAAGATATGGGCCACAATTATCAGAAAATCAATTGGGTAAAATAAGAGTTTGGTAGACAATTATCTTGTGATTATCAAAATGTTAAAAAAAAAAAAAAAGTTTCTCCAAACTTTGTTTATATGTCAAGAAAATCCACCATCCATTAGTCAAAAATGCCATGTAGAAATTGTTATAAGCCCCAGAAAATTTTCTTGCAATTCAAATTACTCTAGAATCTTTTAGTTTTCATGCGACTTACTTGTACACTTCTGAAGCACCAAATAAAGCAGACTGAGTAGAGTTGTCATTTTAAAGGTAATTAAATAAGTAGTATACTCAGAGTTTACATCCTAATTCCTAGCAATGAGTATAATGTCTGATTTGCCAAAAGAAGGCCATGACTGAAAGGAGGATCTAGGAATGGCAATTTCACTTAAGTCCCGTGATTTTTACACTGGTCATGAAGATTGGTGAACACTAAAATTGACTTCAGAGGGAGGGTGTTGGAATATTTTGGGAGCAGTTTTCAAAAATGAAGCACTGAACATATACTTCTGTATCAGGGAGTTTAAACTGACGAGGCATTTTCATCTGCAGCAATGAAGCAGCCACAGTTTCCCCTAGTTTGCTGCTCTTTGTCTTTTTGTATCTGGCTTATCTCACTTAGCATAATGTTTTCAAGGTTTATCCATATTATAGCATGCATCAGAATTTCATTCCTTTTTATGGCTGAATAGTATTCCATTGTAAGTATATACCACATATTGTTTATCCATTCATATGTTGATGGACCATTGGGGTGTCTCCACCTTTTGGCTACTGTGAATAATACTGCTATGAACATTGGTGTACAAGTATCTGTTTGAAACCCAGTTTACAATTCTTTTAGGTATATACCTAGGAGAGGAATTGTTGTGTCATTGTAATCCTAGATCTAACTTTTTGAGGAACTGCCAAACTATTTTTCAAAGCAACTGCACCATTTTACATTCCCACCAGCAATGCATGAGGGTTCTAATTTCTCCACATCCTCTCCAACACTTGTTATTTTCCTTTTTTTTTTTTTAATAACAGCCATCCTTGTGAGGGTGGAATGGTATCTCATTGTGATTTTGATTTGTATTTCCCTAGTGCCTAATGATCTTGAGCATCTTTAGTGCTTAATGGCCATTTGTATATCTTCTTTGGAGAAATGTTTATTCAAGTCTTGTGCCCATTTTTATTTTTATTTTTGTCTTTTTGTTGTTGAGTTGTAGGAGTTGTTTATAGATTCTGGATATTAAACCCTTATCAGATATGATTTGCAAATATTTTTTCCCATTCTGTACATTGTCTTTTACTTTCCTGATAATGTCTTTTGAAGCATGAAAGTCTTTAATTTTGATGAAGCCCAATTTATATATTTTTCCTTTTGTTGCTCATGCTTTTGGTGTCATATCTAAGAATCTATTGCCAAATCCAAAGCCATGAAGATTTACCCCTA